ACTTGTCAGAGATTGAGTATTCGCTGCTGGTCTGTTCTGGCTATTCGCGTGCAGTGTAAATAATCTGCGCTGTGTATGTATAGAAAAACCGGATTAATACAACTGCCCACCTACCCTTCCCCTGACTCAACAACAGTCTATCAATACCAACTTAGGGTTAATGTTGGGTTAGGGGAGGGGTAGGTGAGCAGTTGCCCAGATACTGATATTGATCCCAAAAACCTTATTGCAACACTTAAAAAGTAAAACAAAGGGAAAAATGGAACTCCTCAGAAATCTGTAAAAGGAAACAAAGGTAAAGAGAAAACCATCTTACTGATCTTTTTCTTTTTTGGAGTACAACGGGTCCTCTGTTGCTTTACCATTTCTAAATTTCATTTCATTATTATAATTATTGCGATTATTAGCATAGTTATTACTTAAGCGTAAATGAAAGTGATCCTCGCAGTGATGTGAATTACTTAGGCAGTAGTGAAAATAAGGCCTGGAAAACAATTTAGGCCTGTACGGGATTTGAACCCATGACCTTTGCAATACCGGTGCAGCGCTCTACCAACTGAGCTAACAAGCCAACTGGGAGCTGGTCATGATGGTGGTTCTAAATAAACCCGTGAAGTGATGAATAGACGGTTAAGAATATATAAAAGTCATATATTTGAACTGCGGATAAAGATGTAAATGAAAGTGATCCTCGCAGTGATGTGCACTACTTAGGCAGTAGTAAAAATAAGGCCTGAAAAAAATTCAGGCCTGTACGGGATTTGAACCCATGACCGGTGCAGCGCTCTACCAACTGAGCTAACGTGCCAACTGGGAGCTGGTTATGATGGTGGTTCTAAATAACCTGTCACGGGGTGTACCTCGACTGCCAACAGGGTTTCTAGCTCACTCTTACTTACAAGAAATAAGCAAAACAAAACAGAGATAGAAATTAACAGAATCGGTTCTTTGGCCCGGACATCGGGATTGTCAATTTCACAAGCGTTTTTTGTAGAAAGTCTCGTGAAAGGAGTCATGTTTTCTGTTTTCCGAGACATTTTTACGAAGGATAACGTTGGACTGACTTGTTAGGGAACGACAAATGTAGCTTTCTTTTCATATTTTATCATGTTTACGTAATGTAGCTTCATATTTTGTTAAAGATAGTTTTGGAAAAAATGTACATATGCTTTGTACGGCAAAAATTTATTGGTTGTTTTTCCAGGGACGTTTGCTAATGAAATGGACTGCACCAGAGATTCTGCAAGGAGAACTTGCTGGACTTTCCACCTTGAGTGATGTGTATGTATAGATATGTATATTAATCCACCAACCAAACGAACTGATTACCTTTGGATTTTTCTTTATCATTTCACGTCCAAATTCACTCAGCGATTAACTGTAGAATATTTTTGATATGCTCCCGTCAGGTGGTCCTATGGAATCGTTCTGTATGAGATAGTTACCCTTGGTAAGCCAAGCTATGTTCAATCAACACGTTTATAGGACGACCCTTGCTTAGACTGTCAAAGTGCGCAATAAAGTCTGTTTTCATTCTCATTATTATTTATAATGTATAGATTATTTATAATGTATAGATTTAGCCAGGCCTAAAAGCGGAGCTCTTGTTAGTTTAATTTCCAGCCCTTCATTATACTGACTGAAAACTGTAATAAAACTCTTCAGCACTGGCTGTAGAAGAGTTTCATCAGTGGAATGAAAGACCAGATCGGGGAGTGGGGAGGTGGGGAAGAATTGACGAGGTCTGAAACCTGGGGACGATGTTCTCACAACTACACACATGCTAGTCAGCGGTATCTTCAGACTGGTTACAACCGTTGTCGTTGTTCTTGACGACAAAATTTTCGAAGACAAAGAATGTTGTCTTCTTCAGAAGAAGTGCATGATGTCGGCATCAGTTGAAATTATATTCTGTTGAGCGCGACTTATAATTTCGGTTTGGGAAAAGGAGCCAAAATTGAAAGAAACGACAGTAAACCACTTTGCGTTAAGACATTACTGGTGGATTGAGGTGTATACACGTGCAGTGAGCACAGTGAGTCAGTAAAACAATACGCCAGAATCGTATGGGCTTTTCTTATATCCTCTCTTGAAGTTGCCAGGTATGACCGCTAATCCCACCGTTTTTCCTCAACGTTTCAACCTCCTCTGTTTAGCGTAGAAAATTTAAAAAAAGGAATGTTCAACTCATGTTTGAACCAGTGTAATTTTTTAAAACCTTTTCGCCTTTGGCTACTCATTTCATGTTTCATGATTGTCCTCTGGCTGGAAATAAACGACGTCTTTTTAATATTTTTAATTCGATAACCTCTGCTGTAACTGCATGTAAAGTGGGTGTCTTTAAGAAAACTTGAGCTAATACCTGGATTTAATTTTTACATTACAGAGATCAATTTTAAATATCAATCAACTTTTCTCTTAAGTTTAGACGTTGAGTTGATGTTGTTATTGGCTATATTAAATAGGTTGAAAAGTTTTAGATGTTATTTTCTTATGTTTGCAAAATAATTGAAGTTACTGGGAGGTGGAGTTGTTCCAAAATGTTAACATGAAACGCAACAATACATTTTATTGATATGTAAAAAGTTTTCATCTGACTATCTACTGTCAAGTCTTTGTATTATATTTCAACCCAACCATTTTCCCAACATAGAAACACTATTGAAAATGGAAAAATGGAAAACTTGTGGCATATACACCATGTTTGAAATGCAGGGTTCGTACACTTTTGACTTGTTAAAATTCCATGACTTTCCATGACTTTTTCCATGACCTTTTGAAAAATTTCATGACCTAAGGTTAATTACTGGTAATAATTACTGGTATTGTTCTCAGACAGTAATGTCAAAACAATTTATTCGACCAGATAGTTTTTGAAATTATGATTCAGTTTAACCAAAATGAACGAAATTTCCTCAAACAAAACCGCTGTGAGACAGTTCTTTCCTTTTACATAGAAGATAACTGAAGCTTCACAAGCTAGCACTCTTCTTAGCCGGCTCTCTCAGTTCTTCTTCCGTTTTCTCTAGGGCTCTCTCCTTTTCTTTTGCTACTTTTCTCAGTGCATTAGACTTAGTCCACCACGGTTGCCGGTGTCCTAGCGGATTTGGACCCCCCGGTCCAAATCCGCTAGCGGATATGGACCCCCCCAGCAGTACTGAGTGAAAACATTATCCTTAACGTTCCCGTAGAAATAGATATTGCTTTACATTTCAGTGCGTACTAAAGTATGTTTTTAATTCAAAATATGCGTATCGCCGATGCATACGAAATGGCAGCTAGAAATGACCCGTCCGATGTTTCTTTTGACCAAGGAAAAATGTACAAGCATTTAGTTCAACGTTCGGAGAAAGGTCGTTTTTGAACCTTTTCCGCGATAGTCGAACACCGATTCAGTAAGAGACAAACTTATGGCACTAATTTATTTTTTTATTGTTCAATGCCCAAGTGTTGGGACGACATGGTAAAGTGCGAGTATGTTATTTCAGATCCCTCAACAGTTAATAATCGTTAAAATTAGAAAATAAGATTGGGATAGATGAAATAGTCTCCACTTTTGTTAAGACGTAGACATTAATGTTGATTTGCATCTGAAAATAAGCTGAGAGTTGCAATAGTTCAGAATAGAAACATTTTTTCTTATCATAGGCTTTACGAACGACTTGTAGTAGGAGTAGTTACTTCGTTCCTGTTCAGAAACTGTTTAACGTTATTAAATTAGAAAATCAGACCGAGTTATTTTTATGACTGGACGCAATAGTCTCCACTATTGTTATGACGTTTCGTATCAATGTTGATTCGCATCAGAAGAAGCAAAGATTTATTGTTACAATTTCAATCGTTCGAATGCAGTAGTTTGTTCGCATCTAATTCTTGCGTATACTGTACGACTCGCTATAGTAAATGCGACAGGATTGGAACGAAATGGCTGTTTTTCTTTACGTTAATTGAGGAATGTTGTGCTGTGATTGAAAAGAACATCGACAAAAAGCTTGTATATAGAATAAGTTACCAAATATGATACAAACGATACTTAAAAGGAATGTTTGGTAGGAGGGTCCAAATCTGCGAAGGGGGTCCATGTCCGCTAGCGGATTTGGACCGGAGGGGTCCCGGCGACATTACGTTGAGCCATTTCACGCAGCGCTACACCATTTGTGTGTACGCTATACCTTTAGACACCACGCTGAGCCATTTCACGCTACGCTACACTGTTTGTATGTATGCTGTACCATTCTACATTACGCTGAGCTATTTCACGCAATGCTACACCATTTGTACGTACGCTGTGCTACTCGACATTATCCTGTGCCATTTGACGCAACGCTACACCGTTTGTGTACTGTATTGCAAACGAGTGCTAAGCTATTCGTAATTGAGTTAGTCCATTTCACAACTTCATGTTCCAACTCGACTTTGGCAACTAGACCGTTTATCATTTGGCTGAACTATTCATGTTTAGAGTGTTCTGTTTCATGAAGGAAAACTAAACCGTCTATAATTTGGCCATGCCATTCCTTTATTAG